TTAGGCTGCAGGACTCTGGTTTGGCCCAAAGACCCATCAGATCTTTTAAACCTGCACTAAATCTGACAGAAGGTCGAACTTCCTGACTCTGGTCTCTGTCTGTTTCTCTCTCCCAGTCGATCCAGTCTGAACGCCCAGCCTGACAACCTGAAGCTGAACTGTGGCGAGCAGGATTTCACCGCCGCCATCATCAGCATTCCCACTCCTCCCGCCAATACGCCGGATGAGAGTCTCCCGCCATCGCCGGCCCCCATCCCCGGCATCCTGCGGAACACCCAGGCCACCGCCTACACCCACGAAAGCTTCAAAATCTCCTCCTTATAACCTTTGACTCCTCCTCCCCTGATTCAGAGCCCCTTCAATAATCCTCCCCCCTCCGTACCTCTGAACCCGGATCTGGGGAACCGCAGGCGAACAGTTGAGACCACTCTGATGGATCATGGAGCCGCTGGATGTTCAGAATGAGCGCAGAAAAGAAGTGAAAGCTGCAGAACCGTTGGAGAAAGACTCGTACCGGGAAGAGGTTTGGGTAGGAGGAGGTTCCTCTGCTTTTCACACACAGTTCATCCTTAGAGGTCTTGGTTTGGTACCGATCCGGGGCTGGATCACCCTGGACTGTCGGGAACCAGCTGCTGCTTTGGTTTCTTCTAGATTCTTCCCATTTCTTTGTTTAAACGGGAAAATAGCTGCTCAAGTTTTGGATTTTCCTGCCTCCCGCTACAAGCTGAGCAGTGTTTAAGTAAGATGGAAAGATGAATCCTCAGGATTTCCAGCATGTTTGGAATGTCTCCTTATTGACTGAATGATTTGGCCAGTTGGTTCTGAAGGAAAAAAAAACTCTCAGGAACCAGCTGCTCCTCAAACCGACGGACCTGAACCGAACTGAGCTCATTCCGTCCCTCTGCAGCAGAATCATCTGAACTTACTGAAGGGCCTTTGGATGGTATCAACAGGCTCCGATCCGAACTGCTCCGGTCCGGCTGTAGCTCCGAAGTGTTCGATCCGGACCAGGGAGCTTCTACTCTCTAAAATATGCAACGTTAGGAAACCAGAACCTCATCAGGAACAGTTTAAGTCTCCAGTGATCACTGCAGGGAACAAACCGACACGGGGAGGAAATGTTTTCACCGAGAGGAAACGACTGAAGCTCCTCAGCTGAAGGTCCCGTTGATCCGGTGGACGTTTGCTTTCCTGCCACGACTTCGAGACAAAACAAAACTAAATCTCCTTCTACTGAATCCAACCAGACCCACCTGCCTAAACCAATCAGCTGGTTCTGCTCTATTAAAGATGGCCGACACTTCCTAAGAAACCAGTGATCCCAAAGTGTCCAAGCGTCCACCCTAACCCCTACATCATATATACTAGC